GGGTTACCTGCCTTTCCCTCCTCTCTAGAGCGTGATGAGCACCTGTCCAGAAAGCTCTGTCTCACGAAGCGGAAGCTACCAGCACCCTGCCGTCCTTGGTCACGAGCCCGAGCGCCCGGTCCCGGTCATGCACACTCGGCGGCAGCCGCCGGACGCTGGTCGCTCCACGGGCAGGTGGTCGGCACTCTCCCCTTTGAGGCTAACGTCAGTCTGTTGTGTTTCACGGGGGCCCTGTCCACCCGGGTGCTCAGCCGGGAACCCGAGCCACGCAGTCTGTTCTGCCCCCAGTCTCTGCCGTAGGTGTCGCGGCCGCACCCCCTCCACAAGGGTCCCCGCTCCTTCCGCCCTTGCTGGGGCGTCAGGGGGGAGGCTCCTGCTCTCCCCACAGGAAGGGGAGCCGCTCTGTTGATAAGAGAAGACGCCCGCTGGCCCGTTCCTGCGGGTGGGGCCGCCGGGCCGCAGAGGCTCCAAACAAGTTCCACCCTGTGCTTGCTGCCCGCCTGCCCCGCGGCGGGCGAGCTGAGCGGCTTCTTCTTTTGGCTTCCTGTTTCCATGCGGTAAGTGCACCTGGGACAGGGCTCAGGAACCGCCTTCCGGAGGCCGCCTGGGGGCCACTGTCTGTCCTACCGTCCGGGACGCGGCTCTAGTGGGGACCGAGTCTGGGGCAGGCCTGGGACCTTTCACGCAGCTGGTACGATGAGTGAGCCCGGGGTCCGCTTGGTCCTACCCACCCGCTGAGATGAGTTCCAGGGGCAGACTGAACGCACCGACCAGCCAGTCTGGGTCTGTCCTGAGATCTCAGCCACGTGCTCGCCATGACTCGGCTTCCGCTCATCCTTTCAGCTCCCCCTCTGCCCTGCAGGACACACCCGAAAGCCCCATCGAAGGGAGGCGAGTGAGCGGCACCCGAGTCCCCGCGTACGCGACGGCACCTTCCTGCGAGCGCGTGACAAATAGCTGGCGTGGAGAATTTCAAAGTCTGAGTATCTTCCCCTTAAAACTCTGGAAACCAGCATTTCCTTGTCCTTCGAGGTGAAAATCTCTAATGGGTATGAGGTAAAAACTGGGTTTTGTGATCAGATAAATATTGGAAATCCTGGGTTAAAGACCAGTCTCTCCAGGGCAGGCTTCTGGAGCCCCCGTGTTAGCTGGGACGCCCGAGGAGGGCGCGGTGTCCCTTCAATGCAGCGGCCCGCGCCCTTCCAAGGACCAGCGGTCATGAGCCAGCGTCCCACAGCCGTCATCTCACTGGACGGGAGGAGTAAAGGCCGGCCCGTTCCAGGGAGAGCCACTGCTCCCGGCAGGCGCTCAGCGTCTCCGCCCGGCTGGCCACACGCCTGAGGTGCAGGACACACTCAAACCTTCTTGGGAACATACGACGAATATTCCAAACGTGCGTTTTACTCTCTTCCTAGAAACACACCTGTTAGAGGAAGGCGTCGTCTACGCTTCTTCAGTGTTTCCCCCCTTTTTCAACGCACCACCCACAGGTCTGAGATACTAGTACACTTGCTGTAGGTTTACGTTAACAGTCCAGAAATTCGGCGTGATGGTGTTTGCGACACGTGCTTGCTGCCTGGAAGGACTGAGCGGCGAGAGGGCTGCTGAGGACACGAGCAGCGGCAGAAAGGGACAGGCCTGCTGGGCAGCGCCCTGGTCTCTGCCTGCGGCGCCCGCCCACGCCAGCGGCCAAGCTCACCGCACCAGCTCCTCGCGGTGGCGATGGCCGCCCACTGCAGGGGGCATCTCCCTGGGCCTGGGTTCAGCCTGCTGTGGCTGCCCACTCCGGGAGGAGGCTGGAATGTTTGTTAAACAATGTCCGTTTCATTTAAGATCGCCGCAGCGTAGGACCGGACTGCCGTCCAGGCCAGCCTGCCCACTCTAAAGCCGCCAGCCAAGAAACAGCCGTGGCAAGGGAATTCTGAACACAATTTTTTTTTGTTCTAACGATTCGAACCCAGGGTTCATACTTTCATGTGATGGAGCTTCCTTCAGGAGGGAAGAGGCCAGTGTGAAAGCGAGTGACCGCAGCCCATCCGACCTGGGGGAAAGATGCAACCTTGGCCTCTTCCTCCAGGTTCTCCTGCACGTGCTCGTATCTTTGGCACAAGATCATCTCACTTTTATGTTTAACTGGAGCCGACAGTCCCCTTGACTGCTCAGGAGACTCGCTGTTCACTCACGGGCAGGCCTCCGTTAAGGGACGTTTTTCCAATCAGATGTCCAGCTCCGGGACCCCAGTGGGGGGCTGAAGAGACCTACAGCTACCTCACGATGTGCGAATCAGATTTGTTTCCTCAACAACTTTCCTTTATCTATATATTAGCTGGGCTTCTGCTTTTCCTCCCCTCTGGAGGTCATCTCACGAGCTGGCCCACACAGGGTCGGGCCGAACCCTGTGACACATCACTTGAAAAGGGGCAAAGTCCCCTGAACACACACGCAGCCTCCCTTCCGGGCCTCTGCACAAGTTTTCCTCTGCCTGGAACATTCCCTTCCTGGCTATTTTCCTCTCTCTGCATCACTCACGACCGTCTGAAATTACTTTCTTAATCATTTGTTTACCTATTTGCTGTTTGTCATCTCCCACGGGGAGGGCCATGCCTGTCCTGTTCACCAAGTCCCCAGAGCTGAGAACAGTGCCTTGAGCAGAGAGGCCCAGTACCCGCCTGCCGGGTAAATGAAGACATTACCCTCTCTCTTCTCAGTTACCCCTCAAGCCTCTGATTTTCTCCAGGGTGCCTTCTCCGTCCCCCAAGACTGGCTCAGGCTGCCCCAGGAGACTGTGCTGCCCCTGAGCTGCCTCGACCACAGCTCACCGCACTGCGCCGCGGCTGCTTCCCCGCCCAGCTCCTCTCGCACTGAACTATAAGCACCCTGGGGGCCCGTACGTCTGCTGTGGCATCAGCAGTGTCTACCGTGGTGCCTGACCAGCAGGTACTTCAATCGCTAAGGGAATGAACATCCTGTGTCTCTTCCTCAGTCCCCTCCCCTCCCACGTTACTCCTGGGTTATACCAGCTGTGAGCACGTATATATATTCAGACTATCACTGCTGCAAGAAGGACCTGAGATCTCTACACACACGCACAGCCTTTAGAGAGAACACACAGAAAGAGGAAATTGAGAAATGAGAAAAAGATGCATTGTTAAGTCAAACACAGAAGCACTCGAAGGCTTTTGCCTGAACGTTCCAAGGGACCTGGACAACAGTCTCATGTACCGCTCGGCCCAGCGCGTGGATTAGCCGAAGAAATGCCTCACTCTCCTTCCCTCCTGCATCCCACGTAAAAGCCATTCCATGTTCCAGAAAGGAATTCCCAGCATCATTACCATCTTCACTAACATACAAAACTAGGAGTCACACTATCTCAGCGGGACAAATGCAGTATGTCCCTGGGGGCCGAGGAGAGGGGAGCCAGTAACTGTCCCCTGGAGAAATATCCTTTGCCCTCAATAGATGAAAAACTGCACAAAGCTTGAAGGCAAGAAAAGCAGCAGCCTCCTCTGTGCGCCCCCACAGGCCTCCCTTGCATGTGGGCCCGGGCACGACAGGGTGGGCTGGGCGTGCGTGGTACAGGGAGGGGCCCGGGCCGGGGTTGGCTTGACCTGGGCTGAATCTGGGCCCCTCCAACCTCCACAGTGGGATCTTAGGCAAGTAACTGTGGCATTCAGTTTCCTCCGTGGAAAATGGGGGTTAAAAAAATAAACGACTCGGTGAGTCCTGAGGACGAATAGAAACTGCCCAGCACAGTGCCTGGCATGGCCAGGTGCTCAGTAAACACGAGGGCCCTCCCCCCACTTCCTGGTTTTTAGGCTCCTGAAGCCAATTCTACCATCACTGCCAGGAACCCTGCTCCGCAGTCAGCCGGGCCCGCCCCTGCGCCCTCTGCCTCTGTGCAAGGAGAGGAGGGAGGGGAGGGCCCGCCTGGCTCGCGTCTTCTGTGTGCTCACAGATCCAGCTCGGCTCGGTGCCCCGGAGCTCTGAGCACGCCGGTGGTCCGGCAGGGCAGCTGTGTCGGCCCCTGATAAGGACGGTCCCATAAAATCGTCACGGGAGGTCCCCATCCCGCTTCCTCATTCCCCCTTAGCAGCCTAGGAGTGAGCATCACCGTGTAAGAATTTCCCTAAATGCCAGCTTTATGTTTCAGTTGTCATTTAGAGTTTGAAACCCCATAAATAGAAAATCCTATGAAATTCTGTCCGTAAGTTCTAACAGCAGGTCAGCCGGTCAACAGAAATAAAAACAAATCGCATAGCTGTGAGTCTGTTTTAGCTAGATAACCACATCTCCCCAACTCATTCAAAGTCGGGTTTAACCCTGACGCTACTGATTTCTCAAGAAAAGGCAGAGGAAGCCCTGCAGTGGGGCTGAATTACCTGTGGCTTGTGTTCAGGTACTTCTTTAAACGGAACTGTATTGATGTTTTCGTAAAGTAAACGCCTGCAGTGATCTTTCCATTGGCTGCAGAGATGTTTCCAGTTTCCAAGTCACTGATTTTTATTGCCTCCATTCATCAGATAAAATGAAGATTTTGAGGCCAAGGAGGAATGGCAGAGAAGACAAATCCTGAAAACCTTCCAGACATTTCAAAACATATACTTCCCTCGCACGACGATAAAAGGATATCTGCCGCCCAGGCTTGTCTCCAGGCCTGCGGTGAAGGGGGTGAAAGCGGGTCCTCGACGGCCTCTCCACCAGCCCGTGGTGGCGGGTGCCCCGCACGCTATCAGCTTGATGAAACGACGGCTGCAAAGACAAGGGAAGAAAGGTTGGCCCGTGACCATGACACTGCCACTCACTCTTCGGAGCAACAACTGACAAAACGGAGGAAAAGGGTGACTATCATTTCGACGTTCCCTGTATTCCATAACCCTTACGGCCCTTAATTCAGGAAGCGTGCAGCGTTTCATCTCCCGTGTTTACGAGGCCAACCTTCTGTGATGCAGTTCAAAGAACACGTGATTTGGAATCAAAGAAACAGCTCCAGCCCAGGGTCCTCCGCTTACTAAGGAGCCGCTTCGCCCTCCTCATCTGCACAGTGCCAACGACGATGCCGACAATCCCCTTGCAGGCCTGTGGAGAGCACTGCACCACGCACCGTGGAGGCCGTCTTACCCCAGGGGTGCCGCAGTTACGGGCCAACTGGTATCCTCAAAGCCCACAGGCTGAGGCACTAACCGGCAATGTATCTGGATATGGGGCTTCTACGGAGGCGACTGAGGTTAAGTGAGGCCACAGGGATGCATCCTAACCCACGGGACCCGTGCCGTTACTAAGTGGAAGGGACACCAGGGGAAAGGCTGTGGGAGGACACAGCAAGAAGGTGGCCGTTTGCAAGTCAGGAAGAGAGCCCTGCCCAGAAACCAACTCTGCCGACACCCTGATTCTGGACGTCTAGCTTCCAACACTGAGAAAATAAGTTTCTGTCATTTAAGTTCCCCAGCCTGTGGTACTGTTAGGGCAGCCTGAGCTGACCGATACACAGGACACTAGAAGAAGGGTGGACATCCAGGTGGTTGACACTGGGACCCACATTGTTACAGGTGAGGCCACCCTACAGAGTCCTTTTGTGGACGGGAAGAGTAGCATCGATGTTAGGGGCCTCCCCCGCATGCTGAGCCTTGCAAAGCCTCCCCAAGGGACAGGGGTCTGTCAGGCTCCCATCTGCTGCCCACGCACATGACCTCTGAAAGCTGCAGCCTGGGAAGAATGGCGGAAAAGAACGTTGGCAGGGCCTCCTGACTTTCTTTAGCCAATGGCTCCGAGCAAACATGATGTACATCTCATCCACACAAAATTCTCATACTCTTTTCCTTCTGCCGTGAGACTGCCCCGTCTCAGGTAGGGGTGCTCCTTCCGCCTTGGTAACCCTCAGCTCCTGCAGGTACCCGAGTCCACACCTGCTTCCCCCTCCCCGACAGCTCAGGCGGCACAGGAGGCTGGCTGGAAACTGAGCAGGTCGGAAGGCACTAGGCAGGGTGAGCGAATGCTGGGCCCTGAGGTCACACTAACACTCACTATTTTGCCCTCCAGGCTCTCTAGCTGGCCCGTAATGGTGGTTAGTTCTTTACTCCTTTGGTTCCTGGTAAACGCATGAAAGACGAGACCCTAGTACTAAATACGTTTCTCTAGAGAAGGTGTAGGAAGAAAGGCAGGTTCCTGGAGCTTGCAGGGCTTCTCACCTATGTGCTGGCTGTGTTAACGTGAGACATTACAGGCCCTCTCCTCTAAGAAGGGCGAGTCTAACAAAGAGACAACTGTGCCTCCCTAGGGAACCCCGTTGGAGATGGTCCCAGCCACAGCCAGGACCTCCTCTGGTTCTCATGATGAGGGGAGGGAGCCGTGGAGACCTGCCCACAACAAAGAGGCTATGAACTCACTGCCTCGGGGTTAAATGGACTGTTTAATTCCACCTTATAAATTGAGAATGAAAGGATTTCATAGCTTGGGTAGAGACTCTATTATACCACCATCAAAAAAAACAACAACACCTTAAAGAGAAATTGAAAATACTTTACAAATCTCCAGGGTCAGCCCTCCCTGACTGCAGGTCCCCCGTCTGCCTTTGCCCTCTGCAGTGTCTGACCTGGGCTGGAGCTGGCGCTTATTTATACACACCAGAGGGCGAGGTCTTGAGTTCACGAAACTCCTGTAGGATCCTGAGTTCTGGGAAGAGGGCAAGGCCTTTCTCCCGGCAGCCTGCCAGCACTACACTATCTTCCGGCCAGTCTTGGTCCGGTCTTGCCGGGTAGCTGGAGCCTCAGAGCCCCTGAATCACCTGGGTGGGTAGTTGTTTTTGTGTTTTCTGTTTTTATTTTGTTGATCTTCACTCGAGGATATTTTTTCCATTGCTTTTCAGAGAGTGAGTTTGGGAGGGAGGAAAGGAGGGAGGGAGGGAGAGAAACACTGATTTGTGGCTCCACTTACTGATGCATCATCGGTTTATTCTTGTATGTGCCCTGACCAGGGATCGAACCCAGAACCTCGGCCTATCGGGATGATGCTTTAACCAACTGAGCTACTCGGCCAGGGCCAGTAGTTTTGTTTTGTTTTGAAGCATGGAGACTATGCCTTTTTGAACAACTGAATCTGGGGTCCAATCTTCTCCAAAGGACCAATGAGTCCTGCTGTGGGGGCAAAAAGGGCTACAGAGCAGAGAGACAGGAGATGCTGGCGCCAATCTTCAGACCCGAGACCCAACCTGCCACCACGCCCCTTGTGTTGCCCCTTCCTGGTCCTCACTTTAAATTGAAAGGTAAAAAGGAAGTAAAGTTAGTAAGATAAACTAAGCTGAAAGGTTACTCTAAAAAAATGACAGATAAAACGTTTTGGTTTTTTAAGGCAGCAAAGACCCAAACACACACAAAAAAATCAAAGCAATCAAAATGATCTCAGAGGTCCAGGCTAAATAATCTGTCAAAATAAGAAAAACAACAACAAAACACTCAGGCTGCAGGGTCTGGGGTTCATGCCGGGGGCTCCTGTTCAGAAGAGGCAGATGAGAAAGTCACTGTCCCAGGCAGGGCACGCGAATGCGTCTCCCCAGGAAAGGTCCCTTCGACATCCCGCTGGCCCCGGGGCTACAGCAGGGAGACCCAGCATGTTGCCCCAGCACTGTCTCACTCAGCACCCACAGAGCCCGTGACAGCAGGTTCCAATACACTTATCATGTTTCTAAGTCCTGGGGCTGCAAACAGTGCCTGTGCCCCCCCCAGGGGGGCGTACAGGACGTGAGTAGGGCGGAGAGAAGACATAAGAAGCTGTTTCCACTTAGCTTTCTACCTTCTGTGTACACGGCGTACTAGCAGAGTGGTCCACCTATGTAATTTATAAACAAACATACCCAGATTGGGCATGCAAACTGCTTCTTACCATTAGGGCGCATGATCAAAAGGTTTAAATGAAAAACGCTGATAACTACTGAAACGGGTGGGGAGCTAACATTTTCCATAATAAAATGAAGAATTTCAGCTCAAATCCTCAGGGATGGGTTTGGGGCGGCAGGGGTGAATGCAGACCCCAAGCCCCTGGAAGCCCATGACTGCTGCCCTGGCCGGGAGGCTCAGTGGGTTAGAGCGCCGTCCCGATACGCCAAGGGCGCAGGTTCGATCCCCGGTCAGAGTACATGCAAGAATCAACCGAGCACATGAGCCAGGGGAACAATGAGTCGATGTTTCTCTCTCCCTTCCCCCCTCGCTTTCTAAAATAAATTTTTAAAAAAAGCCTATTACTGGCTTTCCAGAAAATGCCACACAAGCCCCCATGCAGGGAGAAGTCAAACTGCCTGCCTTCCACCCCCACCTGCCTGGTGCGACGTGTTCCGTGGAGAGAAAGGCCTTCCGTTGACTGCAGTTCCCCTTTTAACTTTACTAATAAGTCAAGACCAGAGAAATGGTTGAGGGCGAGCCGGGTCTGTCCGTTTATTTCCCCCAGGAGAAGCTCGTTTGCTTCTTACGGTGATGACAGAGAATGGAAAGAAACTGCAAACGGGAAGAACTGTCTTTTTGTGCTAAGACTTCAGCAGTGACGGGAGAGGCGCCTGGCCTAGAGGCAGGTCACACAGGAAAGCAGCTGGCCGAGAGTAAGGCCAAAGGTGTCCTCCGAGGGCAGGAAGGTCAAGTAGGTACTTCAGGTCACGTAGGAAAGGAGCCAAAGCGCCTGACCCCTAGTTTCAACCCAACACCTGCCTCTTCCTGCCGTGGGAAACGGACACAAGAAAGAGCCACTGGCTGGACTGATGACCCCTCTGCCCCCTCCGGTCTTGCTGCCCTGAGTCACACGGCACAGCACTGTGCTAACCTCGGTAAGGCCCTTCGCTGGGTTTACGAGACCTGTAGGTTGGAATTTTAAAAAGGGGGGGGATAGGTGAAACAAAATCACAAAATGTTGAAAATTATTGGGGGAGGGACAGGTGAAAGTGGTCAAGAGGTACAAAGTTCCAGTTTTAAGATAAGTAAGTTCTGGGGATGGTGACAACACTGTACTGTGTGTTTGAAAGTGGCGAGAAGAGCAGATCCTCAAAGTTCTCATCAGAAGGAGCAAAGCCTGTACCTGTGTGAGGTGCACGGACGTTAACTACACTGTGGTGACCCTTCTGCAGCACAGCTGGCACCGGGCATCACGGGCCTGAACGCGCGGGTCCCTTACACACAGGTGTGCTCGTAAATGCCTGTGCTGTTTCTGGCCCACAGCGAGGCGTCTGTGGGCAGAGGCTGACTGCGTGCGCTGATCCACGCCGTTTACACAGGGACTGGAGCACCCGCGGATTCTGGAGCCTGAGGCGGGTCCTGAAACCAGCCCGCCACGGATACAGGGGACAACTCAAGTTAAGCTTTTGCAAATCGAAAGTTACACGTAGATTTCCGATTTCACAGGGGTCGGCGCCTCGCACCCCGCCACTGATCGCGGGTTAGCTGACGTGCGCGAGGCCGGTGATTATGCTGCGCACCTTAAACCGGCCCCGCGCCGCCTGTCACCCACAGCTCAATGAACGGAAACGTGGCCGAGACTGGTGGTAAGTACAAGGGGGTCCGCTATCCTAGTCTCTCCTTTTGGGTATACTTTACATTTCCAAACAAAACATTTAATCTAAAAAATAAATTAAGGGTGCTTTTTTTTTTTTGGGCTTTAACCCCATAACTTCTATAGACATGAAGGCTCAGTTCTCTACCACACAGCCAGCAAAAATGATGATGAAAATGTTTTTGTCCGTATGACTTTTACGAGACAAACAAGTACCTAATTTC